GTCCAAGTGGAGGGACTGAGAGAGATGCCAGCGGGACGCCCCAGCACGGATCCACTTCTCTCGCTTCTTTCTCGGCAACTTCCCGGAGCAGGATGGTGCCGAGCCCAGCTTGAGCCTGCCAGACCCACCATGGCCTGGGTGTGCAGTGCAGCCCTCCTGCGTGGCACCCACGGGGCACTGGGGAGGTGACCCTGCCCTCGAGCAGCCGGGCCAGTGCACATGGGGCAAGGCCAGATCCGCACTGATGGGGATGGCCAGGATGAACCCCTCCCCTCCCTTGCAGTGCCATTCATACCCGTAGCTCTTCCAGGTGCAGCTGCTGCAGGCAGTCCCGTATCTGCTGGGCCTCCAGGTCCTGCAGCTCAGCCTGTATGGCCCTCTCCTTTTCCTTCTCTTCAATTTGCTTCTCAATCTGGCACCTCCCCCTGAGTGAAACACAAGAATTGTCGCACGTGCTGCCCGCTGGCCCCGGGCTCCTTGCCAGCAGGACCTCTGCAAGACCAGCTGGTCTCAAGGTTTGCTCCCTGGCTGCCATCCAGCGGCCAAGCAGGTGAGACTGAGCCTGGGGCACCCCTATCTCGGCCTCCATGCGAGGTGCTGCACGTGGGAAGTGCCCACGTTTGAGGCAGCCCCTTCCTGGTCGTGCTGGGGCAGACCCTTCCCGCTCACCGGATCAGCTCCTGCTTCCTCTTCTCCTCCAGCTCTTCCTGCATCCGGACGACCTTCTGACGCTTCACTTCCATGTTCTGATCTAGGCGCAGCTCCTCCTGTTTCAGCTCCTTCTCCATCTGCTGCTTCTCTATCATCTGGGCGTCCAGGACAGCGTGGCACCTGGCATCCACGATCATCTGCAAGGCAGAGCGCCAGGCTGGTCCACGCCACATTCAGCGACAGCAGCAGGGGAGAGGGACCCAGATGTGGGGCACAGAGCAGGGAAGAGACCCAGGGCTGTGGGGGCTCCAGTGGGGAGCAGGGCTCAGACCTATTCCTGGCTCTGCCACTGACTGTGTGTGTGCCCTTGGGGGAGCCCCTTGCCTGTCTCTTGGTGTCTGCACATCTCCAGTGAGCGCAGAAGGGAGCGCAGGGCTCGGGGCAGGCCCCAGGGAAGGAGATGCAGCACGGCTCTGCCTTCCGGGGGAGAGCACTTGGAGCCTGGGGGCAAAGGGGCAGCAGGGGGAGAGGGGCAGGGAAGAGAGGAGCTGCAGAGCCTGTGCCCGTGGCCCACCTTCTCCATATCCTTGATCTCATCTTCCTGCTCCAGGCGCATCCTGTAGGCCCGCTGCAGCAGGTAGTTGCCTCGCTCCTCGGCCTCCTTCTCCAGGTCGCTCTTCTGTACCTTCTGCTTTAGAAGAATCCTCTCTTTCATGGCCTTTTTGCGCTGGGCCACAGCGGCCTGGAGGGGAGAAGCAGGTTGCTAGCAGCCCCTGGCAGGCGGGGACCTGGTCCCCTGCCCACGTGGTCAGCCCTGGCAGACGCCCACCCCATCCCACAGCACCAGGCACCCTGCCTCGAAACCACCTAGCACAGGGGAAGCAAGAGGAGGCGACTACCATCGTGGCGTCCCTCTCAGCTTTGTAGGCTGCTGCCTTGGCCTGCCGATCCTCAATGACGCACTGGGCCTTAATGCGCTCATACTCTGCCCTGCTCAGGATGAGCGTCTGCTGGGGCGGTCTCTCTCTAGGAAGGCTGGGGATGGGCAAGAGGGCACGGGAGAGTCGGTGTCAGGGCATGGAGTCTCCCTTCCCTGAACCAGGTTAATATTATAATAATAATAATAATAATAATAATAATAATAATAAATGCTAAATGCACTAGTGTTTATTCCCTGCCCCACTTCCCCCATTTCCGCGGCGATGGAATGACATGTTGTGACATCACAAAGCCGTGCCTGGCGCTGTACATAGTGGCTGGAGATGGGCCCCTGGCCCAGCCCTAACCCAAACCCCCCTCAACCCCGCTCGGCCTCTCCCGGGGCCTGCGGTGTCCAAGCAGCATCTGATTCTGTCCCAAACCGTTCAGGCCCACGGGGTCCTTCCCCTCCTCTCCCCCTGGTCCAGCCCTACGTGTGGTGGGATCAACGTGGAGACGCCTCTCGTTTTAAATCAATGAGGAGGGCCCACAGCTCATGTCTGAGGGTTTGTGCTGCTCCTGCCCTGCCACAGGAGCTGCTTCCCCACACCTCAGCTCTTCTCTGATCCCACCCAGGCGTTTCAGGGCTGCTTAGTCCCCCTCCAGGAGGTCAGTGTAAGTGGTATGGGCTAGCGTGGCACCACAGCCCTTCTGCGGGGTAGCCACAGACCACAGAGCCCCTGACAGCGCCTCCAAGCATGTGCCGCCTTACACTAGTTCGCGGACATAGTCTTTCGTGACAATCAGGGTGGTCTTTGGCTTATAGGGCTGGTCAACGGGCGGGGACAGATCGTGAGCCCCATGTGGCATCGTGGCGAGGTAGGCAGGCCGCGACTGCTGCAGGTTCTGCAAGGAAGGAAGGAAGGGGTCTCCTCTGGGCTCCTTCTGGGTCCGGAGGGATAGACAGGGGCCAGGAGCAGGCGCAGGGCATGGCTCTGCCAGCCACTCACCTTCGTCTTGGGCTTGAGCACCGGCATCGTCCTGGTGTTATACCCTAATTGGGGCAGGGGCTGCATTGGGGCCCGCACCCAGGCCACCTTGCCCTTGGCGTTGGGCTGGCCAGGAGGCGGCGGTGGAAGCACCTTCCCCCGAGGTGCTCCTGCTTCGTGCAGCTGGGGGAGCTGGGGGAGGAGGAGAGATGCTCGGCAGAAGCCCCCCTGCCACCCCTTCCCCAGCGCCCAGCCGCCAGGCTCCTGCCCCCACCCCGCGCCGCGGCCGGGCAATGGGCAGCGGCAGCCGAGGTCCCGGGAGAAGCTCCTCTGCCCAGGCGCCGTGGGAAGACACTGGCTCTTCACACCCCATCACCTACCACGAGTGTGGTTTTCGAGGGGCCTTGTGCCGGCTGGGGCTCTGGCACTGAGGGCACCACGGGCTGCTTAGCCGGGCTAGCAGGGCTTGGCAATGCCATCTTTTCAGCCTGAGGCTCCGCAAAGGGCCCGGGGCCCGGGGCAGAGGCGCCCCGAGCAGTCACACTGGGCCTACCCTAGCTACCCTATTTCCTATCCTAACTGTCTGAGGTTTAAACTAGGTATATCTATCTCCAATCTGAACTCCTTCTCTCTATCTAATATCCTCGAACTTGCTACTATGTCAACTCCAACGTAACCAGCTCCTCACTGTGAACCCAACGACCTCCTCACTCTCCGATGCACACCGGTGAGTGTC